TATTGATTTCATGGTGGTCGTTAGAGAACAAAGCCATTAAGATTTATTCATGGCATCTTAAAGCCATCAATCTATCATGATGAAAACAACAAACGATAAATGCTATCCCAAAACTAACAATAAATGTTAGAGTAAACTGGATTCATTTAAAATTTGGTATTATCTTCGGAAACTTCTCTCACTTTTTCAGAGAAAAAAACAGTTACTACTATACCGACACATCCTATTAGACCGTATATCTAGGTTTTTTGCCGGCATAGATATTTTGTAATTTTGCATACGGAATTAATATAGATGTGTACGAGTACATTTCCATGAGATTGAACGCCTTAGTCGTGAAGTAGTACATAAACAATGTTTGAAAGATTGTTAAAAATGTAGTACTGTACATATATGTTAATATGGTTGATCGAAATAAATGTTTCACGTACTGCTATAATCTTTTTATATCATTTTATTTGATAGAAAAAGATCGTTGAAAGTAGCTAACTTAATTATATATACTACCGTCCCATTTTACCAAAAGACTAACACTTGTTTTGTATTGACTGCATTTTACTCATTAACTGTCCATATTTTGTGTAGTTTCGAACATTTTAAAATTAATTCTTCCTCTTATAAATTGTACTTTTTTGGTTCTTAATTAATGTGCACTCCCACGATCGATTTCTGAAGAAATATATTGATGCGGAACAAACAAATAATGGAGTATTAATAGTATGTGTTAAGCATGTCTGATAGGTTGCCATAAAATGAAACTTTTTTTGAATATATTATTTACTATTCTTTTCCGTTCGAGTGACATCGTTATTCAGTAATTTGTGGCTTTGAATAGGAACAAGTTTCGACCCCTAAAAAGAATGGGAATATATATATAACCATAAAAAAAATATACATCTTTCAATTAAATTATTGAACTCTTTTTCGTAAATATTATAAGTACTCGTAACATTTTATCAAACGAAAAAAATGCAAAATCATGTTTCTCTCATCTTTCTTGTGTTTCCAAATACAATATACCAAACGCCCTTGTAGATCATATTTTGGAGAGATAATAATCGTATTTTAGAAATCTTCAAACTTTTAGATATCGAAAAAATTAAAAACAATATAAAGTAGCGGTATAAAAAGGAGATCGAAGATATGACAAAGGAATGCAACGTTGGTTTGCTTCCCGTTGCTAATCGACTTAGAGGAAGATCAACTCCTATCCCAAACTCTGTTTTCTATTTAAACACTTCTAATTTTGTTTTATTTTCACTCTCAATCAAAACTGATGTAAAACGCTAATATTTTCTTTTAAAATTTAATATTTTATTAAAAAAAAAAGTTGATTGTAACACTTTTGTGATTAAGTACTATTGAAACGATAAACTACGTACCACCATAGTTTAGGATTTTACCAATAATTAAGACTGATAACAGTCGATGACTAATAAATATGGATTTTTTTCGTATAATGTGTGTGTACACACAATGATCCACACGTGTGGATCCGGTGTGGGGGAGGGAAGGGTAATTGCGTGTAGCGATGGAACACCGTAAGTACTGTGAAAGAGACCAATGGAAGAAACCCTACTCTCGTTTATGTCACGTCCCATCTCCAACTCATGTGAGTCCCCACTCGTAATTTTGATCCAACGGTTACGATTCATTCCTTGTTTTCATAACCTATCATCGTACACCGCTCACTTCCTTTCTTTCTAGGGACAACCATACACTGTCCTATTCTTCTTCTTCTTACGCATCTAATAGTATCTACTATATACATATTTTGACTACTTTGACGTCGAAAATCTATCCTACGTACTTTAATAATATATATACCCGTCAATTCAACTATATATATCGCCGACAGAAATCTATCCTATACATTATACGTATACACATACCGGCTGTTCTTAATAAAGAAAGATTTCGCTTTTGAGACTTTTGTGACCCAATTCAAAACGTATATATAGTGTCATCGCCAGTTCAAAGAATTTATCATTTCACTAATTCATTTGGTTTTATATCAAAATCGATTTCCATTGCAATACTCAATCGCTTAACTCGTAACAATGTTATATACAACAGTTATAGGTTTTTTTCCATCTAATATATAGATATTATCTTGGAGATACGAATAAGAAACGCAAACGATAATGACGAAAGTCAATGTAGGATTTTATAAGGAGATCAAGTGTGACTAAGAAAAAGCTTTGTGGCCACCAGGACACTAAACTAGGAACATCATATATACAAGATCTTATCCATCTCAATAGGTTACTAAGGGCCTGTTCGTTTAAGAAACGCGACGACTTAATTGAGCGACCCAAAAACACCTTAAATTTGGAGCAGAATATGAGGTGAGTATGAAAAGCAGCGACATCTTTAACTCCATTAAATACAAAAACGGTAGTGGATGGAGTCGCCTTTTTTTCAGCGATCACCGGCGACACCATAACTTTTACAATTTTAACTGTCGTGTTTTTTTATCTGTCGCTGCCTTTAAATTTTAGCGACACTTACTAAAAAATCAGTGTTTTTAGGAGTCGCCGATCTCAGCTGCGATCTGAAAAAGAACAGGCCCTAAAACATTATTTTCTAAACCAGCGTCTCAAAATTTATAGTTCTTTTCATGTTTAACTCGAATATTAAAGTTTTTGTTATTATTGTTTTAGTTTTATTTTAACATGAAGATAAACATATTTTAAAAACTGTATTCGATGTATCCTAGTATATTTTAAGTAAAAAAAATATAAACTTTCAAATCTACAATGTTAGATGCAGCAACTATAATCGATGATGCATTGAAATAATTAGTTTCATATATAAAAATAACAATAAGACATATTTCAACATGATAACTTACACATATTACACATATTACACATATTACACATATTATACACAAAATTAGTTTACAAAAATAGGGAAGGGAGATATATATGAAGCAACAAAAGGAAAAAAGGAAATGAGAAGATGTCTCTAAAAGCGAAATAGACCCAAATTTTTGGATTTATTACTCACCATATTTATTTATTTATTTTTTTTTTTCTTCTTTTAAATAATTCTGCAATCTTCCATTTTTTTCACTAAATTCTCCCATGTTTCTATATCGCCAACTTTTAATAAATTAAAAAAGTGAGATTTAAGTTAATATATGTAATAACTAATAACGGTTGTTTTGCACAACTTAAATGTTCTTCGTATATAATAAACAAGCACTAGAGTACTAGCTATAAGCTATGTTTCTAGTTTGTCGCAAATTTTTAAGGTTTTGCTTAAGAATTAGTTGCATAAACAAATGCTAGTTGGATACTTTTGATGTTGATGTTATGTACATATATCATTTTCTTACATAAAAACACATTAGCCGAATTTTCTAGCAACTGACAATAATGCAACTTTATTTAATACAAATAAATAAAAAATCTACAAAAGATATGACGATGGTACTGATCTGATGTTGTTTCCAACGTTACCCTTGTTACGTCAAGAAGTTGCACGTGCCTTCTTAGGTCAGTCTTGTCATTTCCTTTAACTAAAAGATCACTGTTTGGAATCAAATTTCATGTTCTCTAAGACCATCTGCATTGGGGGATCACCCCCCCGATCTAAGCATTATTTAAATCCAAAAAAATGGGTCAATGGGCTTAAGATCAGGAACTGGGCTCTTGACCTGGATCTGTTCTTGTGGGTGTTCCGGGGTGACGTGGCATTTGGGCATTGGTTGGAATATTCAACATATTTGGAATAAATTTGGATAATAAACTATGTATTAATTAGATAAAATGTTTTTGTGCTTTTATTAAGTAATATGTTTGTTTGTTTATTGTTATTTATATTTTTAATGTTTTTTTCATAAATATTTAGTATTGTATTTTCACTTTTATTTTCAGTTTTTCATAAATTTGGCATTTGCAATTTATATGTTATTTTTAAATGTTTTAATAATTGTAAAATCTTAATTTAATTTAGATTATTATATTATTAAGTCTTAAGATCTTACACATGTTCTCCCACTAATCAACTTCTAAACAAAAGATCTAAACACATGATCTTACATTATTTTAACATTATATTCTCTATAAGAACACCCTCACATGATCCCCCATTGATGATGCCCTAATTGTTTTTTTCTTTCTTTCTAAAATTCTCTAATTAAAATTTGATTGGAATTTTAAAAACACTTTATAACTGAAGAAATCAGATTCGCAAATTGCCAAACGAGGAAGTTTGTATTATACATACATATATATTGCCAATTTTGCCCTCTCCTACATGCAATACGAACATAATTATATACATAAAATAAAGAAATAAATAGAATCAGGAAACCCTAAAAGCACGTCCTGTCATTTTTATCAGGTGATTTCACTGTCTATCTTGACTTATTGCTATATTATATAAAAAAATTAAAAAAATTTATGATTCGCACACTTCCATTTTCACATTACACAAAATGAGGTAAATGAAAATAGCCAAAGAAATACGTACATATGTACTCCAAAATCTAGTATAAAAACTTTACCACAAAACCAAAGAATTTCTAGAAGACTACAACATTGATTTTTTTCTAAAAAGATTGATTCAGTTACTTTGAAGTAGTTCATTAAACATCAAACTCAAAATCTAGTATATATTTATAATGAAAATTCACATATTTAGCAAAAAAAAAAAATTTAGTATATAAAAAAGTCTTTGGCCATCCACTAGCCGGAAACAAATCCACAACAACAGACTATGGAATACAAAAATAAAAAAAAAGAGTAAGAAATACGATGATGTATATAATAAATATATGACGGTATATGACGGTATAAAAAAATAAAAAAAAAAAAAAAAAAAAAAAAAAAAAAAAAAAAAAAATATATATATGACGGTACCATAACGTATTATTAAAACCATAATAGTTAGTACTCAATTTAGTTACATCGACGACGCAACGAAGTTTTGAAATTCGGGAGAAGCATAAATTAAAAGAAAAAAAAGGCACGAGTCCCAAACTGTAATAAAAAAGGAAATAAAGGGGTAAATTAGTAAATTAAGTGTCCTTTCGGAACAACAACAAGTTGCTTTAAAAATGTTTTAAGCAGAAAATCAAAGACCCGCTCCGTTCGGGTTCGGGTCAAAAAACAGCCATTGTTGTTCTTTCTTCTTTCTTCTGATTCCTCCATTTCAAATAAGAGAGAGAGAGAAGTAAGTAAAACTTTAGTAGAGAGAAGAATAAACAAATAATAATAATCGCACCGCCACGTCGCCGCCGTATTTCGTCACCGGAAAAAATAATCATTCTTCTAAGTTTTTATCTTTTGCAAACCAAAAAAAATAAAAACAGTCTCTTTCTTTCTTTCTTTGTCCATCTTTTTTTTTTTTGGGGGGGTTTGATTATTCTCTGTGTAGCCATGTTCTGCAACAGTTGAGCAAGTGCATGCCCCATATCTCTCTATTTCTCATTTCCCGATCTTCACCATTAATCAATATACTCCTCCTGGGATCTCGATCTCTCTGTTCTTAAGGTGAAACGACACCAGCTTCTGTCGTTTTAGTTAGCTCGAGATCTGTGTTTCTTTTTCTTGGCTTCTGAGCTTTTGGCGGTGGTGGGTTTTTCTGGAGAAACCCAAAGGACAATCAAAGTTTTGGTCTTTTTTTTTCTTTAATGAGAGTTATGAGTGGGATTATTAAGTAATTTACAAGTATGAAGGAGTTGAAGATTCGAAGAAGCGGCTTTGAAGTCGGCGAGACGAAGATTGCGAGCTTATTTGGCTGATTTTAGTTCTGTGAGGAGAAGAAGAAATAAATCTGTTTTTTTTTTTTTAGGGTTTTTAGATTTGGTTGGTGAATGGGTGGGAGGTGGAGGGAAACAGTTAAAAAAGTTATGCTTTTATTGTCTCTTCCTCATTATTACATTTGGGAATCTTGAAATTGTTGGATCTTTGAAGAAACAAAGTTGAGGTTTTTTTTTTTTTTTTGGTTCTTGTTGTTTGCTTTTGAAGTTAGAGAAAAAAAATGAGATTATCTTCAGCTGGGTTTAATCCTCAACCTCATGAAGGTAATTCTCTCATAGTTTTCCTTTTTCCTCATGGTGTCTTTAGAAATGGTGATTTTAACTAACTTTGTGTGTGTGTTTTGGATCCAAAGTTACAGGAGAGAAAAGAGTTCTTAATTCTGAGCTCTGGCATGCTTGTGCTGGTCCTCTTGTCTCACTACCTCCTGTTGGAAGCAGAGTTGTGTATTTCCCTCAAGGTCACAGTGAACAGGTTTTTGTCTCCTTCCTTTATGATTTGGATTCAAATCTTTCCTTTTTGGTTACAGATTACTTGAGAATGTTTTGTGGTTTTCAGGTTGCCGCTTCGACTAACAAAGAAGTAGATGCTCATATACCAAATTACCCGAGTTTGCATCCGCAGCTTATCTGTCAGCTTCACAATGTCACAATGCATGTGAGGAACTCACTATCAGTTTTTATCCGAAACTTCTCTAAGTGTTTGTTCTGTTTGTGTGTTAATTGAACTTGATTCCTTACAATTTCAGGCTGATGTGGAGACTGATGAAGTCTATGCACAGATGACTTTGCAACCGTTGAATGCGGTACGAGACTTCATCCTAGTAATTCATACTTATTTATGCGGCATTTTGTCGGTGTTGTGAACTTTTGTGCTTGTTTTTTTTGGTCTGAATGCAGCAAGAGCAAAAAGATCCCTACCTTCCGGCAGAATTAGGTGTCCCGAGTAGACAGCCTACAAACTATTTCTGTAAAACTCTGACTGCTAGTGATACAAGCACTCATGGAGGTTTCTCTGTACCTCGCCGAGCTGCTGAGAAAGTTTTCCCTCCCTTGGTAATTCATCTTCTCCTTCATATGAAAGTATCTTTTAAGCTTAGCTACTGTCTCTTTTAACCAGAAAAGTTATGTGTTCTTCACTCTTCAGGACTACTCGCAGCAGCCTCCAGCTCAAGAGTTAATGGCAAGGGATCTGCATGATAATGAATGGAAGTTCAGGCATATTTTCCGAGGTTAGCTTTGTTTGTGAAAATCCAAGTTCTTTATTGATAGTGAAGAACAAAGAGGTTTATTTACTCTGCATTTGTTTCTGCCTTTTAGGCCAACCAAAGAGACATCTCCTTACTACAGGTTGGAGCGTATTCGTGAGTGCTAAAAGGCTTGTTGCCGGTGACTCTGTGCTTTTCATCTGGTTAGAAACATTTCTTCAATGTTGGGGTTTTTTTTTTTGTTTTAGAATGATACATGCTAATCATGAAACTGACTCAAGTATTTGTAATGCTAGGAACGATAAGAATCAATTACTTCTTGGTATAAGACGAGCCAACCGGCCACAAACTGTCATGCCTTCCTCTGTTTTGTCAAGTGACAGTATGCATTTAGGCCTTCTTGCTGCAGCAGCTCATGCTGCCGCCACTAACAGCCGATTCACCATATTCTATAACCCGAGGTACGGTTTTAGATCCATATGAATGTGCTTATATGTTGATTCCCTTATCTTTTTGATAAAAGGATTCTGCTTTTCTTCAGGGCGAGTCCATCAGAGTTCGTTATACCCCTGGCTAAGTATGTGAAAGCGGTTTATCACACTCGCGTCTCTGTTGGCATGCGGTTTAGGATGCTGTTTGAAACCGAAGAATCAAGTGTTCGTCGGTAGGTGAATTATCAGAATTCCTATATTTTACTCTGCTTTTTGCAGCTGAATGTCCTTAAGAATCTTCGTTTATTGTCAGGTACATGGGTACAATAACTGGCATTTGTGATCTAGATCCTTCTCGTTGGGCTAATTCGCATTGGCGGTCTGTCAAGGTTTAGCTCAAAACCAAACCTTTAGTAGAAAATATTCATTAGTCTTTGCATTCTCGTATACATATATCATTCATCATCTGATCAAAATGCAGGTTGGGTGGGACGAGTCTACAGCAGGAGAGAGGCAGCCGAGGGTTTCCTTGTGGGAGATTGAGCCTTTAACAACATTCCCTATGTATCCATCTCCTTTTCCTCTCAGGCTGAAACGTCCGTGGCCTCCTGGTCTCCCATCTTTCCATGGTATTGTAAATTTCAAAACATGGTTATCTCCCTAAGGTTTCTATTTCTAGTCTTTTATATCTTCTAATCTTGGTTGCTTCCCTTTTTTGCAGGCCTTAAAGAAGATGATATGGGTATGAGTATGAGTTCACCGCTTATGTGGGATCGAGGACTCCAGTCTCTAAACTTTCAAGGTATGGGAGGAAACCCGTGGATGCAGCCAAGACTTGATGCTTCGGGTTTGCTTGGTATGCAAAACGATGTGTACCAAGCAATGGCTGCAGCTGCCCTTCAAGACATGAGAGGCATTGATCCCGCAAAAGCTGCTGCTTCACTTCTTCAATTCCAAAATTCCTCGGGATTCTCAATGCAATCTCCGTCCTTAGTGCAGCCGCAGATGCTGCAGCAGCAACTCTCTCAGCAGCAGCAGCAGCAACTCTCTCAGCAGCAGCAGCAACTCTCTCAGCAGCAGCAGCAGCAGCAGCAACTCTCTCAGCAGCAGCAGCAACAACAGCTCTCTCAGCAGCAGCAACAACAGCTCTCTCAGCAGCAGCAGCAACATGCGTATCTCGGCGTTCCTGAAACCCACCAGCCTCAATCTCAGGCTCAATCACAGTCAAACAATCATCTTTCTCAGCAGCAGCAGCAAGTAGAGAATAATCATAATCCGTCTGCGTCCAGTGCTGCTGTTGTTTCTGCTATGTCTCAATATGGTTCTGCTTCTCAGTCCAACACGTCACCACTCCAGTCCATGACTTCTCTGTGTCATCAACAAAGCTTCTCCGACACTAACGGAGGAAACAATCCTATTTCTCCGCTTCACACTCTTCTCAGCAACTTCTCTCAAGACGAGTCTTCTCAACTGCTCAACCTCACTAGAACAAACTCTGCAATGACTTCATCCGGATGGCCATCAAAGCGTCCTGCAGTTGAATCATCG